ACCTTGCTTCTGGGGTTAAAAGATTGAATGTTGAAAGAATAATCTTCATTTCTTGTTCCTTCGAATGAAAATTCTTCAATGATCACGGATGAAGCTTTGGCTCAAAAAAATCTCGATACAGTCTCCATGAGTCTAATCTACATCTGAATTCTCTTTTCAAGACAAAAGAATTTGAGATAAAAACAAGACTAAAAGAAAACTTAGCACACAATATTTTTGGATTTTTCATATTTTCTGAAAAAAATAAAACAGAAACAAAAATATTTTTTGGATTTTTGATTTTTCTGAAAAAATAAATAAAACAAAAATAACAATATTTTTTTTGATTTTTTAATTTTCTGATTTTTTGTTTGATTTTTTTTAAAAGTTTTAATTCTCCCCCTAAATTTGTGCATAGAGGAAAACTATGAACAAATTTAACAAAAACAAAAATATTTGGGATCAAAGTTGTCAAGCAATTCAATATCGTTTATCAGCACACGCCTGAATGTACAGATCTGGTCAATCACCGGTATTGTGGTCCACTTGAACACAAAGGATATTGACAAATTGGACAGACTATAAGTGACAAGTCATTGTGATCTTATTCCTAAATAAACCATTTGGCTGACGACGACCAAGGGTATTGTTGTCCACTTAAATTCAGCAGTGAGATCTACAGACAACCTTTTAAATTGTTCAATTTTAGATGCACTAGAACGTGTTTCCCACTTCCCGATATACCCCGATAATCAAGAAATTCCAAAGAACTCTTTACTTTAGGTGAGTATTCAATCATTTAGAGAGAAGTCAGATATAGAAACACATATGTTGTATCCCAGGTCGGATGTATTCCAATCACGCAGAGGGAAGAACATATGACTAACATAGATAGAGGATTAGAGAGATAGTAGAGTGCATATGCTATGTCCCAGGTCGGGTCTACCGATCACGCAGAGGGGACAACATATGACTAACAGACAGAAAGAATTGCATAAATAAGAAGATGCATAGAGATAAAGTTGCATATGTTGCATACCAGGTCGGATATGTTCCAATCACGCAGAGGAAGCAACATATGACTAACAGATAGAAAGCAAGAAAATAATTTCCTACATACCTACTTTATCAGAACTCCTCAGTCGCCCTATCAGTACCGGAATTAAGGACATGAGTCCATACATCAAGGAAATGTTGAGCCACAGTTCTAGATAATTAACTTTTGGTGTATCTCACAGGTTCCCATGTTTATATCACTGCTCAATCTACCCGAGCGTCGTATGGTCAGTCCAAATGAAACTATCTTAGTTTATATTGTCTAGTCCTTTCATTGTCAATATAAGTCTAGTCCTTTTGAATCCTTTGTGCCTACCAGCACATTGAACACAAAGTCTAGACAATTCGGCTTTAGTGCATTACACGCATCATAAATTGCCCTTTAGCACTATACTTCATATCACTTCCCAATTAACAAAACTTTCAAACAAAAAACTATAAGAAAATAAAAGATTGTCTTCAAAACGAATCAGTTTAAGATAAACTCAGGAGTGTCGAGAAGAAAACTCAACCGTAAGTCACCGATTGAATTTGCATCCAAAAGGTCTGAGAACAGCACGCATAATCCCAGAACAAATCCGAAAATTCTTCACATCGTTAAGCACAAAACCCCATGTATGATCCATTCCTTTCTTCCCTTCCCGCAGAGGACACATACTCTCAAACAAAGTTCTGAATGTTGTACAGTTGAGAGATGTCCCCTATCATGTGCCTGGAACAGCCACTATCAACAAACCGAAGTCTGATGATATGCCTCCATAGCTGCTCCGGCACAGAGCGGGATCAGTTGGTCTTTGGAACCCAAACCATTTCGAAACTGGGTTGACCTTTGTCATCAACGCAAGGTACTCTCTCCCATGACATATCCTGCTTATCACAAACAAAAGATGAAGAAATGTTAGAATCATTAGAAGATTTGGGAGATTGAACCTTTGGTACCCATCTGTAGTTGGGTTTAACCCATTTCTTGTTCGATCGGTTGGATGCCATATCACTTGCTTTTGAACTTGAAGTCGGCTGCCGAGATGACTTTGACCTAACCGGTCTTGGTTTCACTGGAGCATCTCTTGAATTGGAATTCTTGGCTGGCATTCCCTTCTTGTCCTTGGAAGTTGGATTCTTGGCCTTCTGCGCATTCCAGTCACCGTTGTGCGATTGTGACTTCGAATGATTTCCTTTGGAGAATCTCCCTCTTGGCGTATTTTGCCATACTTGTGCGTAGTAGGGAACGTATGCGTGATTTGGACAATTTCTAGCAATGTGTCCAGGTGTTCCACAGTGAAAACATGTATGTTTCTTCACGTAGAGTTGTTTCTTCCTGCCCCTGGTGGCCTGCCCTTGCCTTGTCTCTGATTGTTCCCACAAGCACACTTGCAGCAAGTAGTCTGCTTTGCTTGTTTTGGTGGCCTGTATTTGTCAACATCAAGTTTGTTAGAAGCAACTGATTCAGAGTTCAAGGAGTCATTGGTTTGACAACCAACAGAATTTGCAGAACTAGAATTAGTTATGTTCTCCTTGTCCTCATCTTCTACTACTTTACTTGCACATGAAGTAGAATCATCAGAAACGTTCACCTCAACATCCTTAGTTGGCCCAGATTGTTCAGTTTTAACTGAAGCTGATATAGGGGGTTTGCCAAACTGAGCAGAAATTTCCTTCACGTTGGTCTTAAGGGGTGTGGTATAGTTGTCATTTAAAGGAGGTGGAACAGTATGATACCCTAGACCCTTGTTTTAATTATCTTTAAATGTTAGTTGTTTTTCTATCATCGATGCAACTACCTCACTTGATACATCAAATTTCTTAAAGGTAAAATTTGCATCTTTATATTTAGCTTTTAATGTATTAGGTTCGACAGTCAAGTTAGCAAGCTGTTCCTTAACATAACTATAATTCGCAAATTTGTTATTGTATTCCTCTTGAAGTGTTCTATAATCCTTGATTTTAGCCTCTAATTGTGCTTTTAATGGTTTTTGGGCCTTCCTCAGTGTATATCCTTCATATTTAAGGTCCTCAACTTCCCTATTTAGCAAATCATTTTGTTCACGAAGAAATTTAATCGTTGCTTCACATGATTTAGAGCATGAAACTTCAGTGACCGGAATGTTTGAGGAACTCATTGTTTAACAAAAATTCCCTTTGACTATAAACCGAGAAAGTCAACCTTAAAAGTCGAGTTTACAACCAAGAATGAGTTTACGGCCAAAAAGGGTTTACTGCCGTACACGGTTTATGGTTGAGAACAATTTACGGCTCACAGCTGAGATTAGGTTCACAGTCGAAAACAAAGGTTTACAGTCGAAAACAGAGGTTTACAGTCGAAAACCGGTTGTTTGCAGTCGAAAAGAGTTTACAGCCGAAAACACAAGAGGTTTACGGCCGAAAACGAGTTTACAGCCGTAAACAAATGAACAATTTACAGCCGAAAACACCCAGAATTTGATGAAAACAACTGATTTCGAGCATATCTTCAATCCCTTTGGCCTTGAAATCACAATGAACAACAGAAACTCAGTAACCAAGCTTGAACAATCACGAAAATAAAGAATACTCCAACCGAAAACACAACTTGAACAGTTTTGACACTAGTATGGCTCTAATACCAATTGTAAGTCCCCAAATCTGGAACCAACTAGTGATCAAACACAAGAACAAGCAACAATCAATGAGAACAAGAAGGAGTAGAAGCAAGAATGATCCAAATTGCACATGTTTCTATTGAACCGCAAATGTCTGGTACAATGGACACACACACAACCACCACTTCTGACAAGACTGACACTATATATAGGGAACACGAACTGTAAACAGTTCACGGCCGTAAACAGACTCACAACCGCAAACACCAGTTGAACCGAAAACACCTTGTTTTCGGTTCACCCAACCGCAAACCCTATAAACACCTAAACAAAGACTAACAAGACTCATACAAATGAATGCCTAGCCCAAACCAACAAAATATTACCTAACAATTGGCATTCCAACCCGATGGTTGAGGGCGTGGGGTATTCCAACCCGATGGTTGATTGGACCCATAATATGCTGTTTGTTATTGTATGTGTATTGTTGTGTGTACGGGTATTTTGGGGGTAACTCACTAAGCCTTCGAGCTTACATTTATAGATTATTGTTTCAGGTACAGCGGATGACCGCGGGAAGGCGAAG